CAGAAGACCTCAAATAGCCACAGCAATCTTGAGAAAAAAGAACAAAGTTGGAGGTATCACACTACCTGATATCAAACTATACTACAAGGCCATAATAATCAAAACAGCATGGTACTGGCATAAAAACAGACACATAGATCAATGGAACAGAATACACAGCCCAGAAATAAACCCACACCTATAGTCTCATTTAATATATGATAGAGGAGGCAAGAATATACAATGGGGGTAAAGACAGTCTCTTCAATAAATGGTGTTGGGAAAACTGGACACATACATGCAAAAAAAAAATGAAACTGGACTACTTTCTTACACTATATACAAGAATAAACTCCAAATGGATTAAAGACTAAAATATAAGATCTGAAACCATAAAACTCCTAGAAGGAAACACAGGCACTAAACTTTCTGACACGGCTCTTAGTAATATTTTTTCTGATATATCTCCTTGGGCAAGGGAAACAAAAGAAATAATAAAACAAATGGGACTATATCATACTAAAAACTTTTTGCACAGCAAAAGAAACCATAAAAATGATAAGACAACCTACTGAATGGGAGAGATATTCACCAATGATACAGCCAATAATGGGTTAGTACCCAAAATTTATAAAGAATTCATACAACTTAACACCAAAAAAACATAGGATCCAATTAAAGAAATGGGCAGAAGACCTGAATAGACATTTCTCCAGAGAGGACATACACATGGCCAATAGACATATGAAAAGATGATCAGTGTCACTACTCTTCAGGGAAATGCAAATTAAAATCACAATAAGATACCACCTCACATCTGTCAGAATGCCCATCATCAAAATAAATCAACAAACAAGTGTTGGTGAGGATGTGGAGGAAATGGAACTCTCACACTGTTGGTGGGATTGCAAATTGGTACAGCCACTATGGAAAATGGTATGAAGGCTCCTCAAAAAAATTCAAAGTAGAACTACTGTATGATGCAGCAATTCCACTTCTGAGTATTTATCCAGAGAAATCCAAAGCACTAATTCAAAAAGATATATGCATCCCATATATCTTTTCTGCAGCACTATTTACAGTAGCCAAGATAAGGACGCACCCAAAGTGTCTATCAATAGACAGTTGAATAAAGAAGATGTACATATGTACAATGGAATATTATTCAGCCATAAAAAAGAATGAGGACCAGCCGAGTGGCGCATGGGTTAGGAGTTGGCTTGGGACACTAGCTCTGAGCAGCAGGGCCCCAGTTCAGATCCCACATATGAGGTCCAGTGATGCTGCGCCCTCTACAGCTAAGATGGTGAACAGCAGCTCAACCTGGAGCTGGGCTGCCGTGAGTCACCAGCGACGGCGTAGGCTGAAGTGGGGCTGGCTGGCAGCAGGCGTGAGCTGCCGTGAGCGGCTGTCCAATGGCCAGTGAGCAACTGCCTCAGCCGGGAAGAGCGCAATGATAATACCAACATGGGCCAGTCAAGCGACGTCCTCCACAACTACTGAAGAACAAAAGAACGGCAACTTATCTGTTCCCCTTCCCGATTCCCCAGCACTGTTCCCCTCCCCCAATTCCCCAATAAAATCTTAAAAAAAAGAAAATGAAATCTTACCATTTGTGACAACATTGATGGACATGGAGGGTATTATGCTAAGTGAAATAAGTCAGACAGTAAAAGACAAATACAATATGATTTCACTTGTATGTGGAATCTAAAGAACAAAAAAATTCAAACAGACCGATAGATACAGAGAACAAACTAATGGTTGCCAGATGGGAAGGGGCCTGGGGAGCTGGGTAAAAATGGTGAAGGGATTAATAAGTACAAATTTGCAGTTACAAAATAATCACGCTGATGTAAAGTACAGCATAGGGAATATAGTCAAAAATCTTGTAATAATTATGTATAGTGCAAGGTGGGTACTAGACAATCAGGGGGATCACTTCGTAAATTGTGTAACTCTAACCCCTATGCTGTTCACCTGAAACTGTTGTGAAATAATGTTGAATGTCAACTGTAATTGAAAAATAAAAATTAAAAGGTAATGAACAAAAATTATGAGATTAATAAGAGCTTCTTAGTGAAGATATTTTCTTTTAAAGAGCTTGGCATTCTTATTAATTAATAGCTCCACTATTATTTAAGATCATGTTCCCACTTTATGCTACTTTTTAATAAAATACTAATATTAGTCATTTTTCTATTTTCACAGTCTTAAAATCTAGAACTTTGATTAATTTGCGCTGCTCTTCTGCTTGTAGAATTGTTGGTTCTCCACCAGTTTTCTATTCTACCTTCATCTACTTTTCACTCCACATACCATATTCAGCCACTCCTGACTGTTACTTATTCCAGACTTTTTAAGTCCCAAGTTCAAATGTCCATTAGCTTTGTGAATATCAGTCCAGATTAATTTCTCTTGTTTTCATAAGACCCTATTTATTCTGCTATTCTGATATGGTGTCATGGCTAAGAATACCTAATTTCAAAGATAGGGTCCATGTTTTACTCATCTTTATATCACCCACCAGACACACCCGGGGCCCACAGCATCCTTTTTACTACCCTCTGTAACAAATGACTAGGTGCTTGAGTTAGATGTTTCAGATTTTATGTTTTGTTGTCGCATTTTCAAAATGTATACGATGTTTTTGTGTAGATTGTGTGTGTGTGTGTGTGTATTAGTTGGCATCGATATTAATGGAGATTCAGTTTCATTAAGAAATCTAAAATACTATTGGGAATTCAATGATGAAAATTCCATTGTATACTATCCAGGGGACCCTACATTACAGCACTGTGACATGAAATCTATAGCTATTGAAAGCTTTCTGTTTCCAACTTAATTTTCATAATAGAGAATTTTAGGCAGGAGGCATCCAAGGGGAATCTCTAAAAATTAGTAAATTTAAAGTGAGAACCACATTTGCACATAAATTGCCATTCTTTTTCAAAGGTTTTTTTGGTTTTGGGTTTGTTTTTTTTCAAAGCAACTTATAACTGGATATATTTTGAATAAACTACAATAGTAATACAAAAAACACTTGAAGTTTCTTAGGAGGATGTTACTATTGAAGTCAAGGTACTTTAAGTCAGATTATGTTACACTGATTTCTGCCACGTGTCCACATTTTTCTTTTTAATTTTAGTGGACTATAATTCTGACAAGTCCATTGTAAGAAGTTACTTTCCCAGTCTGTAAAGAACTGAGCCCAAACTCTAATGTTTCAATATGTATGCATGTGTGTGCGTGTGTGTGTGTGTTTTCAGTGGTGTCATTTCCAACACAAGAAAACAGCTTATATTCACATACCATTTTTACTCCTGCCCTTTATTTTCCTAGGGGTGGAAATGTGGAACTATATTTTTTGATAGCATTTGGAATTTAGGGTATGAATTTGAAATATTTGTCATTAGAAAAACTTAAGTATTATAAGAAACTCAAAGGGAGAATGGTCTAAGCAGCAGCATATTATCAATCACTTTTATTACAAATAAGAACTAAAATATACTTTTTTTTTGTACAAAGTTAGATTGGTGTGAAGTCATCTGAAACATGGCCATGAAGCACGGTTGCCATACAAACAGCATTTTACAAAACACTTCACTGTTAAACTATTCACTATAACTGTATTATACATTGTTGTTGCTTAGTTATCAGATATACTTTGTATTTATGTCTTTAGAGAAGGATGATGCTAGATTTTATTCAATTACTTAGTCGCTGAGCAGAATCACGGAGGCTTCCAGGCAACTACAGTGATACTGTTGTATACAATGGATACCTGAGATGGAATCTCTGCCATTGCTGTTGCTTTAGGGATTAGTAAGGATGAAAATGAAAAATGATACTTATAAGATAGCAAAATATATTTAAGATGTTATCAGAGAAATCATTTCACTGTCCTTTAGCTTGGAAGTTTATATAGGCAGTGCCATAGTTTGGTACATCTTTGTAGAAACGTTTTAAATATCCTAAAGCTAGAAGTTTAGTTATTTATTTTTATCTGGTTTCTTTTTTGTTGTTGTTGTTTTTTGTTTTAAGGATTTGTTGTAGCTTCTAGTAATTTATGTAAATCTTGAACTAATTGGTTTACCTAAAGGAATCCTCTTAGGATTAGGAAACAAAATACACTTCATATTCACTACTCAAAACTTATCATTGTGGATTCTTATTTAAATAACTTATAAATTCACTTGATAAAAGTAAATTTATATTCTTAACTGACTACTTAAATTACCAACAGGGCTTTCAGCTTAAGGAAAAGTTGTCCCTTAGGTGTTTGATTGTGAGTTCTGGCAGATTACTTAATGTCTTTAAGCATCTGTTTCTCTGTCTAATGACCTTAATAATACAATAAGGAAATAATCTAAAAAAATTACTAAATAACACCATTTTCCTTTACCTTTGACACATCCCTAATATAAGGATTTATATCTTAGTGTGGTTTGTTTTTTTTTTAAACATAACCATTCTATAAAAGTAGTCCCCCAGCCTTTCCCCTTTTTTTGACCTCCAAGAAGTACCAGCTTCATGGCCATGCAACCTCTGCAGTTACACAGGACCCCATGCTTGGTGTAATGTTCTATCATTACCAACCCTAAATTCTCAATAATTTTTTGACAAGGGGCCATATATTTTCCTTTTGCACTGGGCCCCACAAATTATGTACCAGTCCTGGTCTCCAGAAAGTAGTTGTCATAATAGATAATACATAGTGAATAATAATTGTCTGTAAACTAAATCCGTGACCCTATAAATTTGCTGAACTACAAAGGAAGTCTTTGTATACAAATTTTATTTGAATGTGTTATATGGGAGGAAAAATGTAGCTGACTTGGGTTTACCTACATAGTAAACCTTTTAAATGTTAGCTCTCATAATAGAGAGATGTTTTGAACTTTGCTGTTTTAAACAAAATTCTGTCTTTTTAGAACATAAAAGTACTTGCTTAAAATACAAAAACATCCTATTAGATGAAATAAATTCAAAGCAGAATTTAACTCATTATGCCATTACAGGTTATCAAGTTATGCCCAACCAGCAACAAAACTACCAAGGAATAGTTGGAGTTCAGCAACCCCAGAGTCAGAGCCTCGTTGGTGGCCAACCCAACGGCATTGGAAATCAGATTCAAGGAGTTGTCATCCCCTATCCTTCAGTGCCATCATATCAGGTACGTTGTCACTCTCACCTACTTTGGGTAGAGGTGATTTTGAATAAAGATGCTACAACGCAGCTTCTCTCTTCTCTGTTTAATATAGGGATAGTGCTCTATAATGTATAACTTTATAGTCTTAAGAGTTTTATTAGTGATAGCTGCTTTGTTTTATCCTGCTTTTATTGCTTTTTTCATTCACTTCATTAATGTTTTAGAAAAAGTATCTGAACCACATTGATATTGGCAAGTAAATTTTGTCTGCCATTGTCTCTGTTTCCAAATATATAAGTATGTAAACAAGTGTCTATTCTATAAGTCAGCTCCTTAGAAAGTCTCTTGAGGAGTGTGCAATGGGAGAGAAAATAGAGGTGGAGGCAGGTATTTGAAACAGTGAGATAGAGGACAGACTATAAATCCGTGTCTGTAGAATAGAGAAGATGATGCAATTTCCCATGCTGGAACTAATTGTTTTCCCCACCTCAGTCCCAAAAAGGAATGACATGTCATATATTAAAAATGACATGGATTTTGATTTATAGTTCTAAAATAAAAATACCTATTGTTTCGTAAATAAGTCAGATTTTTTTCAGAATAATATGGCACATTTTCAGAAATCTGTTTTACTTCACCTTTAACTTGCAAGTAGGTTTGTTTTATTAGTCTCGTGTTTTTCCATAATTGAGTCTAATGTTGAGAAATCCAAAGACCCTTTTCATTCTTCTCAACAAGGTAAAAACCATCTAATTGGGAAGATAAATGTACATGTAGTTTATCTAAACATATGTAAACAAATTGGTCATGGTACACAGACCGGTAACTGAAAGAATCATGAAATACAGCCATGAACAGATTAGACTTAGTACAGATGTCTTCTGGGAAGATATAAACCTTTAACTAGCTCTTAAAATAAAATCACACGCATAAATTGGTTAAGAAAACATTCTGGGAATGGAGAAGTATATGAGCAAAGGTGCTAGCATATTCCATTTAATTCCAGAAAATTAAAATGTGAAATGTGGAATTGTCAAGGACTATTGAGCACTAAGCATATGTCTAGTTTTGAAGCCCCTTCATTATAGAAAGCAACTAAGGAAAAAAGAAAAGATACATCATGAAACTAGATTTTGCATCTTTTCCCTTATGGGTTTTCCTCCTTATCTTCTGTGCGTGAGCCTGGGTACATGAGACTGCCCATTCCCTACTTCGTCCATGGCTAGACATTAGACAGGGTCAGTAACACACCAGGAACTCTCCTTTCTCAGTGACCCTGGTCATGCTACCAAATCCAGTACATTGAGCATCTCTTAGATAAGACACCCAGACACTATGTAAATAAGATCGGCCCTTGACCTTTAGAGGCTCACAGTCTAGTTCAAGAAATAGAATTTTTAAATAAATGACAACCTTGTTAATTTAGTTTTTTTTAAATGGAGATAGATACTGAAAATGCTTCCAAGTTAAGACAGTTATCATTTCTGTAGTATATTTTTTTACAGGTTATCAATTATTTCCCCAAGTTATTTCATGTAATCCTCATACTGGGTAAATGATTGTGAGAATTGTTGCTCTGATAAGCAATAAATGACCACCTGTTTTATACTTCTTCCTACATTTGGTAGCTAAGCTGGGTGGTAACAAACTGTTATCTAAGAAATAAGCCAGAAAAGTCATCTGTCCTCAGTTGAGTGTATCCTGGGGCTGTGCATTCTCAAGTACTGTCCCTCTTTCATCATTGGCACTTCAGTTTTTTCTTTACCACTAGTTACAAATTTATTCTATAGCTTAAATCATCTAAATAAAGCTGTGTCATTTTTCCTAGATCTGCCATATATATATATACACACACACACACACACACACACACACACACACACACACGTGTGTGTGTGTGTGTGTGTGTGTGTGTGTATGTATAAATTTAGATAAAATCAGAAATAATAATCTCAGAAAGTTATACTGCCTCAGTAGGTAAACTGAAATATATTGTGTTACAGAGTTGGATACATCAAACCAGTAACTTTCTTTGCAGTAATTGAGCCAAATTGAAAGTAATTAAGTGATTACTGTGTATTTTGGAAAGACTATATTTCAGAAACATGCTATATAGGCAAGACTTAGAAGTTAATCATTAACTTAGAAATCACAGAGCCCAGGTATAGAGAAAGGTGAAGTGGTAAATAACTGAGGCTCTAGGGGCAGAAGACATAAGTTCAAATCCGGAATTCTCTACTTACTAGCTGTACAACCTTGGGCAAGTTACTTAACCTCAATTTTCCCATCTATAAAACAAGGGTGATAAAAGTATCTTCTTAGGGTTGTTAGGAAGACTTGATGTCTTCCTGATACACATAAGATGTTTAGAACAGAACTGAACGTGGTAGTAAGTACTCAGTAATGTTAACTTTCATTGTCATTACTATTACTAATATTATTATCATTGAGAGTACTATTACTAACATTATCATGATCATAATCAGAAATTTTATATTGGCTTTATTTACCAAAATCACTCTAATCCAACTATAATGTTATGGCACATTTGTACATTAAGAACCCATTATGTCTATGTCATTTCTGTTTTAGAAACTAGAGCACTGAAATACAGAATTGAAAAATCCATTATGTTCATGTGGTCTCTATGTAGATAATACAGAAAACAAAGAATTAAAAGAACCACTGTTCACCGAATGCCTACTGTGCTAGAACCTGTAAATGGAGATTACAGTAGAGATCATACCTCCCCTGAGGTGGAGGTGGCATCCCATTTTTTTTTTATAAGGAACTGTGGGACCTCACAATAGTTAAGTCATTTGCCTGATGTCACATAGATAGTAAAGTGATTAAGCTGATCTCTCATCCAAATATCTTAAGCTCCAAAGCTCACACTCTTTCTGATTCCAGTATCTCACTGGTACCCTACCTGAATTTTATTTAGCATGTCGTGTTGTCATCCTTATTTGGAAACAATTTCTTTTTTAAAATAACTTTTACTTAGGTACATAAGTCATATCTTTTTGTATATATAATCGAGTGCATCTAGCCTAGTGTACAATTGATACATGCTAGCCAAAAACAATAGCTGGCTGAAAAGAACATAGAAATAAAGTGGTAGTGCTGTGGCCAACTTATCAGGACAGCCTTTGGGTAGTTTTAGCTTCTTCCTAATTGTTCATACTTGAAAAGTTTATGAAGGCTGGAGACATTAACATTTGCAAGGTTCTGAAGAACTTTTTTCCCCCTCTAAATTGTCTTTCAAATTTTAGGTTTCACTGCCTCAAGGTTCTCAAGGAATTGCCCATCACTCTTACCAACAGCCTGTTATTTTCCCTAATCAGTCTAATCAAGGATCTATGCCCACCACAGGAATGCCAGTTTACTATAGTGTCATTCCACCTGGCCAACAAAATAATTTAAGGTGAGTATGACTAAGAAACCTAATCCTATAGCTTCTCAGTGTTTCTCAGGATTATGGTCTGTTGCTAATTTTAAATTTGCCTCTCGGGCATTACCTGAGATCATTCTCTTATCTAGAAAGAAAAACTATGGTACAGTCTATTTTTCTAATGTTTCTTTTAACAAAATCAGTAAAAGCTAAGCATTCCATAGGTAAACTAAAGAAGAGTCAAATTTTCTCTTAAAATTAGACTAGTCTCCTTTTACTTATCCAAGTGGAACAAAATAGTTGGCCATAGACCTTGGAGTTTTAAGCGTTTGTTAATATTTAAGGTTTTTGTGGGAGTTTGGGGAGACTGTATTTCCTTTATTTAACCTCAGAATTAAAATACCTTGCTGAAATTTTTCAGGCTCTGAGGAGCTCATTTTTCATCATTAAGAGGAGAGAGATAAATAAGAGAAGCAAATGATAATAACTCTGTACCTAAAGCAAGTCATGAAGTATTCTGTTAGCTACTTCAACTTGAAACAGCAAAGCTTCTCTGATAAGCCTAATGCGTTAATAGTAATCTTTTGAATTGGGTACCTTTAGTTTATTATTCAGAATGCATTACAGTCCTTCATTTTTTCTCATGACATCCCTGTAAGGTTGCCAGAGGGCCTTGGTGCTCTTTTTAAGAAGGGATCCTTAGTTATAATGGCTGATAAGACGTTGTTATCCAGTTATGGTTGCAGATGGTATTTAGCGTTGAAGAGGAGATTGACCTACTTGCTTCACTGAATCTGCTAGGAAATGGAGACCTGGCTCTCATTTTATTTATTGTCAGAAACACACATGCACACACCAGAGGAACTCACCTGGCTCTGTGGCTCCCCCAGTTTGAAGAAGCCTAGGCTTTTTAAATGGCAAGTTGGTTGTGAATCTCACCGGCAGCTTTGGAGTTTTATGTTGTAATGAGCCCCAGTTTTTTGAGATAGAGCTCCTACACAATGAAAATAGAAATGTGTACTATGTTTAATTTCCCATTTGTTGTGAGAGTTTAAGTTCCCATTTGTTGTGAGAGTTTAAGTTCTATACTTTCAATCTGAGCCTCTTTTTCTAATTTATGTAAGTTTGGGGTCTATAAGGTCTCTTCAGACTCTGAATTGTCAATCAGAGGAATAATTCTGTGCTAAAGCAGGTGAAATGGATGTTGTGAAAAGTGCTGAGTTAGCTGCTTTTTAAGCCAGTGTAACCTTTCATTTATTTGAGAGAAAATTGCCAAAGTAATCATTCCTTTGTAGGGCAGAAGCTGAGAGAAATAGGTATTACTTAATACAATGACTCATTTAAGGTCACCAGACACCTGTTTTTATAACTTATTTCTATAGGCCTGCATGCTGGGTAGGAGGGCTTTCATGAAGGAAGGAGATTGAACCTATAAGATCCTGTATAACAATCTTAGGCTTTAAAACAACTGTGTTTGATTTTTGTTTGTTTGTTTGTTTTTATAGCTGAGCCATCCTGCCACCTATTGGCAGCTCAGCGGCTGCTCAGCTTGGGCCAGGACTCGAACTGCTGTTGCTCAGAGCTCAAACTCTTGAGCGAGCTCTTAACCAACTGAGCCACTCAGCCGGCCCAACCGTGTTTGTTATTTTTATCAATCCCTTGAAACAAGAAAGATCTTGTCCACTTGACATCTGAGGGAGCTGGCCCTGGGAGTATGTGTAGAAGTGAGAGAGCACACACAGTTCTGTATCCCCCTCTACTTGCAGCCTTATTTGAAGCATAATGGCAGAATTCAAAAGCTGTCAAGTAGATGCTAATGGCTATACTTTGGAATAAATCATACATACTTTTAGTCCCTGGGCCTGCTTTTGCAAGGAAAATAAAAATGTGGAGACCTAGCTTTGGCCTAAGGAATAGCTCGGAAGCACAGCAATTAAAAGATAAGTGAGATTCCCCAATGGCCTCCAACTTGAACCTTGAGGAAGTCTTTAAAATTACTCAGAGTTTAGGACTGTAACTTAGATGAGGCAGATAAATTTGAAACAAGCTAGCTGTACATTGACAGCAGTGATGGTTGCCATGTAACAACAAACTAGCATTGATTTATATCTCTTGGAGATTACCAATGTGAGAAATAGAATGCGTTGCCTATAAAACAAGAATGTGTATCCTGTCACACTTGTATCCTGGTACCTTTTAGACTAGTTATTTGGTAAGAATTCAAGTCATGTACAAAATTAATTACGGACCATTTTGGGTGAAAAACATCTATTAACTAATGACTTTTTTCAAACCATAACAACATTATTTACAGAAAATTTTATTCTGAGCAGTATTTAATAAACAAATTGCCACAATATTTCAGATTTCCAACTTAAAGATCAACTATTGGCATTTATTATTAATCAGATCATTGAATTACCATCTAAGTGCTAATGTATACAGACCATTCCTTCATAAATCTAGATTTGTGAGCTGGTATACATTATATTTTATCTTACATATGCCAGAATATTTACATGCAGAGCAGAGGTTTGTCTGAATACTCACTCATCTAGAACAGGCCTGGCCCAGAGTAGAAGCTTGGCAAATCTATACTGAATAAACACACTTCTTTTTTTCTTTTTAAAGATTTTTTTAATTAAAATATAGCTAACATAAAATAATGTATTAGTTTCAGGTGTACACCATAGTTATTCAACATTTATATACCTAAAGATGTGATCACCATGATAAATCCAGCAAACATCTGACACTGTACCACACTATCACAATATTATTGACTATATTCCCCATGCTGTACGTTACATCCCCATGACTTATTTGTTTTATACCTAGAAACTTGAACCTCTTATTCCCCTTCACCTTTCTCCCCCTTTTTTAATTTTTTAATTACAGTTGACATTCAATATTGTTTCATATTAATTTGAGGTATACAACATAGTGGGTAGACAATTATATAATCTAAAAAGTGATCCCCCTGACCAGTCTAGTACCCACCTGGCACTATACATAGTTATTACCCTATTATTGACTATATTCCCTATGCTTTACTTTACATCCCCATGACTGCTTTGTAACTACCAATTTGTACTTCTTAATGCCTTCAGCTTTTTCACCCTGTCTCCAACCCCCCCTCCCATCTATCACCCCAATAAATCTAGTACCCATCTGACACCATACATAGTTATTACAATATTATTGACTATATTTCTTATGTTGTACCCTACATCCCCATGACTACTTGTAACAACCAGTTTGGACTTCTTAATCCAATCCCGTTTCACCCAACCCCCAAACCCCCTCCCGTCTGGCAACCATCAAAATGTTCTCTGTATCTCTGTATCTATGAGATACAGAGGCTACCTCCACCTCTTGGCTACTGTAAACAATGCTTCAATGAACATACGGTTTCACATGTCCCATTGAAGTAGCGTTTTGGGTTTCTTTGGATAAATACATAGGAGTGGGATTATTGGGTTCTTCTTTGTCACTTGTTATAACCTGTGTTTTAAAGGCTATCTTGTCTGGTATAAGTATTGCTACCCCACCCAGCGTTTTTTGTTTTTGTTTTTTTTCTGTTTCCATTTTCATGGAATATCATTTTCCCATCCCATTACTTTCAGTCTGTGTGTGTCTTTTGTTCTGAAGTGAGTCCCTTGTAGGCCGCATATGTAAGGGTCTTGTTTTCTTATACATTCAGCCACCCAATCCTTTGATTGGAGCATTTATCCATTTACATTGAAAGTAATTGTTGATAGATATGTAGTTATTGCCATTTATTTATTTATTTATTTATTTATTTATTTATTTATTTATTTATTTATTTATTTATTTATTTTGTCTTAAAGAAGTGCATCTAAGATTCCTTGTAATTCTGGTTTGGTGTTGATGAACTCCTTTAGCTTTTTCTTGCCTGAGAAACTCTTTATCTGTCCTTTGATTCTAAATGATAGCCTTGTTGGGTAGAGTAATCTTGGTTGTAGGTCCTTACTTTTCATCACTTTGAATATTTCCTGCCAATTTTTCCTGTCCTGGAAAGTTTCTGTTGAGAAATCAGTGAATAGTCTTATGGGAGCTCCTTTGTAGGTAACTAACTGCTTTTCTCTTGCAGCATTTAAGATTCTTTCTTTGTCTTTAACCTTTAGCATTTTAATTATGATGTTTCTTCGTGTGGGCCTCTTTGGGTTCTTCTTGTTTGGGGCTCTCTGGACTTTCTGGGATTGTATCTCTATTTCCTTCACCAGGTGAGGGAAGTTTTCTATCATTATTTCTTCAAATAGGTTTTCAATTACTTGCTCTCTCCCGGTACCTCTCTGATGTGAATGTTGGTACGCTTGATGTTGTCCCAGAGGCCCCTTAAACTGTCCTTATTTTTTTTGGATTCTTTTTTCTTTTCATTGTTCTGATTGGGTGTTATCTGCAACCTTATCTTCTACAACGCTAGTTCAATACTCAGCTTCATCTACTCTGCTGTTGATTTCCTCTAATGTATTTTTCATTTCAGTTATTGTAATCTTTGTTTCTGACTGATTCTTTTTTATGTTTTCTATCTCCATTTTTATTTTTCACATCTCTTTGTTGAAGTTCTCACTGAGACCACTGAGCATCCTTATAACCAGTGTTTGGAACTCTGCATCTGGTAGATTGCTGATCTACATTTTGTTTAGTTCTTTTTCTGGAGCTTTGTTCTTTTCTTTCATTTGGAACATGTTTCTTTGTCTCCCCATTTTGGCTGCCCTCCTATGTTTGTTTCTATGTATTAGGTAGGGCTGCTATCTCTCCCAGTCTTAGTAGGGTGGCCTTGTGCAGTAAGTGTCCTGTGGGATTCAGTGACTAAGTCTTTCTGGTCACTTGAGCCAGGCACTCCAGGTGTGTCCCTTGTGTGAGTTATGTAAGCCCTCCTGTTCTAGTTGAATTTTGGTTGCTATTTAGATATCAGTGGGAGGTATTGACCCTCAGGCTGATTGGTTGTGAGAACTGGTGGTGACTACAGTAGAGGAGCTTTTGTGAACTCACTTCTTTAATGAGAA